GCCACGAAGAATTGAGGCAGTTCTGAAGGCAAAAGGGGGTCCAACCCGTTACTAGCGTGGTGTACCTAATAAAGTGGCCGGTGAGTGTACATCCACCATAGAGTTTGCAGGTAAACCAGACGCCCTGACTCCTAAATTGTGTTTGGTCTGAATGCAGCACATCTTTATTATTTATTAGGAAAAAGCCTGACACATTTACTTAGAGAGGACTTAAAGGTTCCCTGATTACTTGTAACATTACACATTATTTGGCTGATGTCCAAATATGAGTGTCTCCGAGTATTTCTGTCTCTGTGACCCTGTTATGGTCTGGTCTGGTCCGGTCCTGTCTGGGCTGGTCTATCCAGGGTGAAGCCCGCCTCTCCAGCTCTGTGACCTGGAACAAGTTGAAATAAGAAAATAAATCAGCTGAATAAAGGGACGAGTTTAATTTCACAGCCTGGTCCTTGCCATGGATTGCTGTCTGTGTTTTCTGTGTGTTTCTGTGAGTTTCTGTGAGTTTCTATGTGGTCTTCCGCTGAGGACTTGTTTTCAGTATTCCTGCTTGGTTTTCTAAAGAAACACCTTCAGAACCATGTTTGTGTCATCGTCAGGTGTTAAAAGACGGCATGTTGGAGAATCTGACTCCTGAGCTTTTCCTTGATGTTAACAAACCAAAGAGTGACGGCACCATAAACCTGGACAAGTAAGACAAACACAAACACACCTACTATGTCTCTATATCCTTGTGGGGACTTTCCATTGACTTCCATTGATTTTTTTTGGTGATTTTAAAACCTAACCCTGAGCATTTACCCTAAAATGAACCTCACAGGTACCTACCTGACCCTAAAACTAACATAAACTCAATTCACACCTTGGTCCTAAACCCAACCCCACCACACCCATAATTTGCATTTGCACCCGGTCCCCACGAGGCTGCATTTTTGGGAAAATTGTCCCCATGATGTAGGAAAAACAAGGACACACACACACACACACACACACACACAAATTCTTGTATTTGCATCAAACTGAGGAATTCGTATCGACTTCCATTCATTTTTGTAACTGTATTTATGCCTAACCCAGACATTTTCCCTAAAACTATCCATTAYTGGTCTATAGTTAACYCTAATCTGAACCAGAACTTAATTAACACCATACATCTAAACCTAACTAGTAAAGCACAGCAGAGCTGCAAACATAGTGAGGACATTGAACCTCACTTTGATTGTAACTATGATGCAAATGGTCCTCACTCTGTAGTAGAAACAAGTACATACACACGCACACACACTGTCTTTTTATCCTTGTGGGGACTTTCCATTGGCTTCCATTCATTTTTGGTAATTTTATATCCTAACCCTGACCACAAACCCTAAGGCTAACCTCACAGGTACCTACCAGACCCTAAAACTAACCTAAACTCAATTCACACCTTGGTCCTAAACCCAACCCCCGACCCACCAATGGCATTTCAACCAAATGGGGACTCGACTTTTGTCCCCAAATGTAGGATTTTTGTCTTAAAGTTGCCCCCAAATGTCCCCAAACAGTCTTGTCTGTCTCAGTAACTGTAGAGTAAAGGTGTCTTTATTCTGTGTGTTGATGGACTATCTTCCCTTCTTTCCTCAGAGTAACAAGACAAACATGTCCAGACCTCAAGTACTTTGTGGCCTTCTCCTCAGTCAGCTGTGGCCGTGGAAACGCCGGACAGAGCAACTACGGTTACGCCAACTCAGTCATGGAGCGAGTATGTGAAAAACGCCGTCACGATGGTTTCCCTGGATTAGCCATCCAGTGGGGTGCCATCGGGGATGTGGGTGTGGTACTGGAGACCATGGGTGGGAACGACATGGTGATCGGTGGGACCTTGCCGCAGCGCATCACATCCTGCCTGGAGGCGCTCGACTTCTTCCTGAACCAGCGGCAGCCGGTCGTGTCCAGCTTCGTGCTGGCAGAGAGGACTGTAGTGAAAGGCGAGGCAGGGAACCAGAAAGACTTGGTGGATGCTGTAGCTCACATTCTGGGTAAGAACTCAGCCCCAGACAGTCCTAAAGCCTCAATATTGTAGACATGTTTCCTGCTTCAGACCAGCTGCAGGAGATTACATATAATGATGAAGGAGATTAGACATGTTTTAATATCGTGAAAGAAAACATTTTTTACCAAAATAATTTGGTTTAAGTGATGCTGATGCCAGCAGATTTTCAGAAAAGATGAACGTCATTCTTCTAATGTTTGCTTTTTGTTGTAAAAAGGCTGAAGTGAGGCTCACATCCTGCCTGTTGTTGCTTTCAGGTGTTCAGGATGTGAGCAGCCTAAACCCTGACGCCTCGCTGGCTGACCTGGGCCTGGACTCTCTGATGGGCGTGGAGGTTCGCCAGACCTTAGAGCGAGACTATGACATCGTCATGGCCATGAGGGAGATCCGCCATCTTACTATTAACAAGCTGCGTGAGCTGTCCAAGAGCAAGCTTGAAGGATCAAATGGTAATAAGAGCTGTTTTATATTTGTTATTTCATTAATGTAATGTGTTACTGAAAGAGCTCTGATGGAGAGAAACTCTGGAACTTTATCCACAGTATTCCTGATTTCACGCCACTACCCATAATTCATAGCGGAAGTGGGTTCCATATTTCTGCTTGGCTGTAGTTTACAATTACGAGGATACACCATCGCTGCTTATCAAAGCATTTTTTATTGAAATTTGGCATAGATGGCCACATATCGGAGGTGTATGTACTGTAAGGATGTTTTAAAAAGCAGCGACGACAATTCTTTATCAGTGGCTCAGCCGTCACTGCTCACGGACTATGTCCCGATGTTAGCTAATAGCTACTACTGACATCAACCACCTCGTCTTTCCCTGAAGACACACACGCATGCAAAATCATAAATGTCAACCATTCTGCAAGTAAAATGTTCATAAGCCCCTCAGAATTGTAATAATTTTATAAAAGCATTGTGAGTAGACGGTTTCTCCCCCTTATTCTAAACATAAAATTCACTGGCTGCTAGTTCGCTAGTAACTTAAGAGATGAACTGGAGTGTTTCATACAGCTGCAGTCATTCTAAATAAATGATAAACAAAAATAAATAAACTGCCTCTAATAACTTTTTAATCATATTTTTTATCTAAACAAACCGGACACTTATAGCCCCTGGGCACTGCTAAGCCCGTCTTTTAAACCTGCCATGATGTAAACAACATATTTTAGCACATAAGAGGATTGTTTATTATTCTGAGCGTACTCAGAACTGAGACAGTTAAATTAAGACATTTCTATAGTTTACCAGCATGTGACTACTAACCATAGGCAAAATATTTCTTTAAATTTAAGATAAGCTGCAAATAACATGCTAACAACCAGGCCAAATGTAGCTAGCACTGATGCTAATGCCATTCACTGTAGGCCTTTCATTCAGTAAAAACAAAGAACTGCAGGATTAAATAGCAACAGAGGACACACAGCATTTAGAGTTTAACTCACCAGGCAGCTACAGATTCAGGGTTTTAGTTGAAATTGCTGGAAGCTGTCTGACTCACAGCGGTTCAGACGAGACGCCTTCAGTAACCAGCCTTAGCCCAGATAGTGCTCTGGATGGGAGTGAATATCCGTGGGATTTTTGTTGATAAAATGAAAAAGCAAGCAAACTCTCTTTGGTGGGTTTTTCGGATTTAAAGCTGCAGCCATGTTAGTTTATGATCCTCCTTCGTTGGTATAAAGTGCAGTTTGTAGGGCACTGAGCATGGACTTGCCTTTAAACTTCTTGTTCCAGGCAAAATGTTTCTAATAGTGATGTGCAGATCAATACTGAAATATCGATACTACTGATACCAGAACTTTATGTTCTAGAATCGATACTAAAATCAAAATATCGATACTTTGATACTGTAGTTATTTTTCCACTATTTTCCTGTTAATGATATACATTATGTGAAATAACTCAACTATTCCAGTCTTGTCTAAATCATATGTGGTTGGAGGGAACTACTTTTTCTTCCGCTTGGATAATGCATCAGCACAGCAGCCTGCGCTCAGTCAGTCACTCAGTCTGTAGATGTACTTCTAGCCTGGTTAAAACCAGACCCTGTCCTTCACTTTGCTTCGTACAGGAGCAGTGAAGGGAAACTAGAATTGAGCGGAGCTGCGTAGGAAGGCAAGGGTCGGGCTAATGTACTGCAGGTCATTTTAACATAAAATCTGCTTCGTCTGACTGTCTGTAAGTACATTCTAGATGAGGGCTTCCCAAACTTTTTCATGCCACAGCCCCCCAAACAGCATTGGCTCTGGCCAGGGACCTTCTTGCAAACCCTCAAACAATGCTACAAAATATACAAAGTAACAGCTTTTAGAATTTGTTTCTCACTTTTATTCACTATCGTATCTCTTTAGAATAAGAAATTTAATATGTGCACGTAGGTAGGGTTAAAGTTAGAAAGACTTTTAAATTATTAAATAAATTACTATGTCATGTATTATTTACAAAGCAGTTATTTGAAAAATGCTACTTTTTAAGATTTACCAGAAACATTATGCGTGTTATCACATAGTATTAGTATCGGATCAGTATTGCCGATACCAGCTAAATTTTACTCAGTATCAGTATCAGGAAGAAAATTGGCAGTATCGCACATCACTGGTTTCTAAAGCATTTCTCAGTTTACTTCAATTGTTGTGCCAGCCGACAAATACACAAGTTGAACCCGAACTTGTGATTGAACTGCTCAAGCTGCCAATTAAAGCAAAAACAAACTAAATTTGTTGTTATCATAACTATCTGAATGAATGAATGAATTTAGCATCTCTAATGGCAGCCTGTTTCCAGAAACTTGTGGATAAGTTATTGAGATGTGTTTTAATTCAGATTTGTCTAACTTTGTACAGTTTACTAATGTACAGCAAAGAAAAAAACATTTCCTAATTTCTCTCTTAGAATCTCATCCAGCTGCAGACAAGAAGGATGGCGTTCACGCGGTGTTGGCGTCTGACCTGACAGAGTTATTAGTCAGCCCCGATTGTCCCACAGTGGTACCCCTCAACACGGTCCAAAGCAAAGAGAGACCCCTGTTCCTGGTCCATCCCATCGAAGGCTCCACTGCTGTGTTTAAGAAGCTCGCCTCCAAGCTCACCATGCCTTGTTACGGCTTACAGTGCAATAAAGGTATTTAAATACTGCTGTCAGTCATGTGTGTATCTGTACATACTGCTGTCAGTCATGTGTGTATCTGTACATACTGCTGTCAGTCATGTGTGTA